CCCCCCCCCCCCCCCAAAAAAAAAAAAAAAAACATAGATAACTGCATCAGTTAATTTTTATATTAAGTTTTTAGTTTGTCTGTCAAAAATTTTATTACTGGAATTTTACAAATATTTTGGGTTTAATTTGCAGTCATCAGCAATATTATAGGAGTACTAGTTATTTCCTAATATTTCTCAAATTTGCTGATTAACTCGGCTTTGATGATTACTGTTATTTAAACAAAACAAAGAAAAAGAAATTCGAAATCTTAGTGCTGGTCTTCAACTAGTATAGCAACTGAAATCAATGGAAAAACTATATGTGAAATTAAATTCGGGAGTATTCACTGACTAGAAAGGAGTTTAATTCAGGTTTGGATAAAAAACTATATTATCCACTTAGAAAATGGTTAACTAAATGGATAACCAATGTGTTTAACTTTTACATTTGTAAAGTCTCAAATTGAAATTCCTCAAGTTTGGAAGACTAGGAATTCTCTCATAAGTGAACATATTTAAGAAGCCATGGATAATATGGATATCCATATTATCTACCGGATAAACACATTTTTATCCGTCTCAAATATGGGTACGGTCGAATAATTTATCTGTTTTTTAAGTTACCCGTTTTCTTGTAGTGTAAAAATAATAAATCTGTTTTTCAGAAATTTTTTGCCAAAAATTCGTTGAAACTTTTCATGGGGAATTACTTGCGGAAAATCCGCAAGAAATTTCCTTTTTTTTTTCACGAACTTTTACCAAAACTTTCTTCCGAAATTTTTAGTATTTGGTGCAAAAAATCCGCACGTAATTTACATGCGGATTAAAAATCCTTAGGTAATGTACCTGGGGATTTTAAGTTTCGCAAGTAATAATTACCTATGAAGGTTTTCCCATCGGATTCTTTTTGGTAGGAAAATCCACAGAAAACTAAATTACTTGCATTTTCCTGTATAATCCGCAGAAAAATCCCCATATAATTCACATTTTTCTTGTATATAGTACACACATTTTTGAGCTATGCAATATGTACATGTCAAAAGATTGCTGAACACGTACAATAAACATGCAAAATTATTAGCAGCCTGTATTTAGAAATTAGAAGAAAAAAAAGGGTGGTTGAGCTTCTAATTGGCATATCAACTACCATTGAAATTATTATAGACATGCAAAATTATCATGGTACTAATATTCTTTTACAATAACATAAAATAAAGATCAAGATTTATACTTTATAATTTATGAGTCACTTTCACGTCGAGAAAATGAAATATATTTTCTATCATGACAAATAAGTTTAATAACTAACCGCATATCTTATTGTACGTGCACACGAAGATCCAACAAACTAATTTATTATGTATATCATAACTAATGTTTTTACAAATTGTGTGCTATAACCTCAATGGCTTCATAGTAAACTTCAACAATTGAGCACAAATAATTATCAAATTGTAAGAGACGAATGGATTTTAATTAACAACTATAAGGATTTGATTATATATTAATTACCATATAATCAAGTCCTGGTAAATATTAATTGTCATAACGACCAGTTTTGTGCATGGGGCAGACGGCTGCTAAAAACACATAATATTTTATTATAAGAATTTAGCTAACCCCATGAAATAACGTTAAAGCCACCATCTTCTTGTGGATCTAACAATTTTTTTTTAGCAAATACAAGAAAGAAGAAATAAATTAAAATTAACTTAATTCAAGTGATGTTGGACTTTTGATTCACTTGCTTGCTGATGTATGTTTTTTTTTTGTTTCTAACCCGGTATCTGATATTCGTATTGGAGCTCGACTATATCCGGATTCGCACCGCGTAGGCCCATTCGAAGGGTAACACTCCTTACCAAAATTTTTTGCATACCCAGGGCTCGATCCGGAGACTTCTGGTTAAGGGAAAAGTATACATATTGACAAAGCAAAAATTATTTACATTGTCAATTTAAGGGCGCCAGAACCTATTGGTTCATCATAATCCAGTAACTTTGGTTAGGACAGTGTATATGTGTTAAAAACTTCATTAAATAAGTACAAATAAATAATTTCGAAACCAATAAATCGAATGAGCTGTGGTAGAACTCCAAATTCAATCCCATAAATGAAGTTTAAACCGTTTATGCGTCAATGTAATTTAACATGTTATAATAATAAGCTGGTTATTTATATCTTTCGAGTTATCAGTTATAAACTCTTACTACCTATTATTACATGTAATTTAACTTAATTGCATAAAAAAATTTACACTCTTTTTGAACTTCCACATAGCTTTGCATATTCCAAGTAGAGACAAAAATGGGAAGTTAAGCTTGTTCCCTCATACATCAGCAAATATATTGACTTGAGTATATAGAATATAAAAGTTGAATCGTTGAGTAAACGTACGTCGTTTACTTAACTAGATTTCACATTTGTTTTCTGGAGAATCTGGACCAGTTGAAATATAATAGAGAAAAATTTCTTTGACCAGAAAACAGATATTTTTTTATGGGCAGAATGACTTAAATGACACATATACGTATGCCACTTTGTAATGCTGGTCCCTTTATTTTATTTTTTTCTTCATCCAGATATTTTAACTTGTTCAAAATTTATATTTAAATCCCTCTGACCGTTGACCAAGCACATGTGACAAAATAATGGTTGAGCTGGATAAAGTGAGTGTAATTCACGTGGATAATGAGCGTGAATATGAACATTTTGAACCAGAAATAATTAAAAGAAAAAGAAAAAATCATTAAAATAAGAATGAAAAATAAATAAGTAAAAAAAAAAGAAATATCTCTTCTTCCCCACTCCCCCCCACAACACCCCCTTCCCTTTTCGTTCCATGACAAGGCTCTCTTTTTGGGTGCTAATGCATCTCTGTCAGTCCAAGCTTCTCAATTTCTTGGAGTTAAGCCCAATTGTGTTTATTTTACTGATGATTTTTATGAACAATACAGTGACTATGAAGAAGGGGCGGCTTGGACATGGGTATTTTCAACATAGCAGATGGCACCTTTAAGGGTCACTATAAGTGTCTTTCCCTTAATCGTTTTACTCCACCAATGTGGCTTGGTGGAGTAACTTGGCGGGGCGACCCGGACGGTGACGACTTGCAACCGGTGTTTGCAGCCATGGCGGGTGTCTCCAATCTCTTGCCTTGTCTTCAATATCTAGATCCGAGCCTCAATTGGAAGGTTATTTTCTTAAGTGCAACGCCTACATGCTCTTTTCCGTTAAATTTTGAAATTCGGAGGAGAAAACCAACAACCCTTGTTCCGCCATTGATTTTCCTCCATTTTCAATTTCTATTCCGCCAGTAATTTTCCTCCATTAAAATGAGTGGAAAATTTGGGTTTGGGGGTATAATAAGCATTTCTCATTTTATTTTCCTATGTGACCATAATAAATGACCTGGAGCCTACGTGGTTTAATTTTCTTGACGTGGCAGCCAACGTGGAGGAGATTATATTACACGCACTACAACCTCCTGTCATAAGCATTTATTATACATGTTTTGAAGGAGTGTAAGTATTCAGTTGGCAAATTGTTAAGTTTGGAGACCGGCATGACAAAATGACACAAGTATAGGTGTCATTTAGGCTATTCTGCCTTTTTTACGTCTTTAAAAAGATTACTATATATAGCTCTTGAACCTCATTCAAAGGTACATATTATATATAGTAGGCGTAATGACTCCCTGATCACTTAAACTTGTAGGACTTTTGAAAGTCGATACACGAACTTTGGATTTTCCCATTTGAACACTCCAACTTGACAAAATGGGTACTAATAAACACATCAACCAGAGCGTGTATATCAATTGCGTTGACATGTACAACACATCATGCTAAGCTATTTATTACTTGCCATGTGTTATTTTTGGGTCCCATTTTTAAATACAAAATCAGAAAAAAAAATTACAAATACAAAAAAGGAAAAAACAGAAAAACGCCTGAAACATACCCAATATTAATCTGTACCCTCATTGGAGCAACCTGAAGAGAGATCTGCTTCGGTGCCGCAACAACAACAGAATTGAAGATGGAGGCAGCGAGAACCATGAAAGATGTTTCCCCTCACGAATTTGTGAAGGCTTATGCCGCTCACCTCAAGCGTTCTGGCAAGATGGAGCTTTCTGAGTGGACTGATCTCGTCATGACTGGTAAACTCAAAGAGCTTGCTATATATGACCCTGCGTGGTACTACATTAGAGTTGCTTCTACGGCAAGANTTTCCACTCAGAAGCAGGAACTTATCTAATAGTAGTTTCCCTTCTTTCTAACATATTTTGATGTATGGCAGCCTCTACGGCAAGAAAGATCTATTTGAGGGGTGGTATTGGTGTTGGTGGATTCCGAAGAATCTATGGTGGTAACCAGAGGAATGTCAACCGCCCTCGTCATTTCTGTAAGAGCATGGTTCAGTTGCACTCAACATACTTCAGCAATTGTAGAACATGAACATCCGATAGCCAACGTAATCTTGACCAAGTTGCTGGAAGAATTGCTGCTCTTTAAGAGATGAATTCAGACAATTTTATGAATAAATGTTAGGAAGACGAAAGAATTGAAAGGGGAGGGGAAAAGTCTTTTTTTTTTTTTTCATTTTTCATTTTTATTTATATTTTATTCTAATTCTATTTTTTTTTTAGTAAAAACAATACTATTCATGCGCCTTGGCAACGTGATTTGCACACTGTTTAGCCATGTCAGCTGCAATGCTTCCACGTAGGCATGGTCAATGGTCTAAAGTGTTTATTAGTACCCATTTTGTTAAGTTGGAGTGTCCAAATGGGAAAATCCAAAGCTCATGTATCGGCTTTCAAAAGTCCTACAAGTTTAAGTGGCCAGGAAGCCATTACGCCTATATAGTATATAATGAAGAATTATGCACCTTTAACCAGAGGTCCCAAATTCGATTGCTTGAAGAATGAATAATTTTTTTCTGGTAAACAGTGCTTCTCTTTTTAATGAGCTCTACATGACGCTAATATGGATTAATTAGTTGAGGAAAAAATTAATTATAGAGAGATGTATCTATGTCTCCAAATAAATCTCAAACACCACTTTTGTTTCAAATTGGAAGAATTCGAATTACAGATGGTAGAGCAACTTGAAGGGTGTTGGATATAATAATAAAAAGATATTATTGCCTTCTCCTAATTAATAACAAAGGCAATAATAATTAATGTGCCATACGTAGTAGGAAAATATTTAGTTAGTATCTAAAGAAACCCTATTGATCGCCTACGAACTAGACAAAAATACTAGAATATCTTGAAAAGATTATAATATAGTAGTACATAGATGTTTAGGTAGTAGCATGTTCTTGTAGCTAACAAGGGGTTACGGATTCGAGCTTTCAGAATAAATAAAAAAATCCTAATAGAAAGCGTCTCGCATTTTAACAACTATGTGAATTCAAATTAATCAAGACCCAAATGAACGTAATAAAACCAACAAAAAGATAGTTCTTGTGAGCTCTTTTGGTGCGAACAAGTTGGTGAGAGAGACTTAAACAAAAACTTTAGCTAATTACTATTGATCGTAAAAATTATACGGTGCGCCCTATTTAGTCGCCCCCATTTAACTTATATTCATTTTTTTAAAATTTTTAATTTGTACTCACTTTTTAAATAACTTCAGCATCTTTTCTCTTCCTCCTTCGTTTTCTTCTTCAAGTTACAAAACAAACTGGTATTTATCTCGAGAAGCAACGCTGCTTTAGTTATAAGGTCAACTTTTTTTAATTGAACAGTTCGGCAGTTGTACTTTTGGTCTAAATTTACAGCAAATTAGTCTTAGGAAAAAGTTTAAGTTACCAATAGGATAATCTGTAAAATTTTGAAGTTTTTGTATGTTTATTCGTGTTTGAGATGAGAAGATGTACACTAATTTTCTTAAAAAATCACTGCTAATTGTAGTGTTTCAGCTCTAGAGCTGAAGTTCGCCAGTTACAAAACAAAAACTTCAGCACTAAAGCTGAAGTTCGCCAGTTACAAAACAAAAACTTCAGCTTTAGAGCTGAAGTTCGCCAGTTACAAACAAAAACTTCAGCTCTAGAGCTGAACTTCGCCAGCTGAACTTCGCCAGTTACAAAAACAAAAACTTCAGCTCTAGAGCTGAAGTTCGCTAGTTACAAAACAAAAACTTCAGTTCTAGAGCTGAAGTTCGCCAGTTACAAACAAAAACTTCAGCTCTAGAGCTGAAGTTTTTGTTTGTAACTGGCGAACTTCAGCTCTAGAACTGAAGTTTTTGTTTTCTAACTAGCGAACTTCAGCTCTAGAGCTGAAGTTCGCTAGTTACAAAACAAAAACTTCAGTTCTAGAGCTGAAGTTCGCCAGTTACAAAACAATAATTTCAGCTCTAGAGCTGAAGTTCGCTAGTTAAAAAAACAAAAAACTTCAGCTCTAGAGCTGAACTTCAGGCCCGGCTACTAGAATGCTGAAGTTTTGCGTGATTGTCTTTGCTACTTCAACCCCGTATGCTGAAGTTATGCGAAAAAGCGGGTACACTTATAATTTTTTTGTAAAACATGCACAAGTTAAAATGTGACACAAAAAGCGGGTATAGATGCAAATGCCCCTATTGATCAGTAGTATTCTATGGGCCTTAAAAACCATCATTCTTGTCTAATTTCCATTAGACAAACAAGGAAAAGAAACCAATGGATAATCTGATTAATCAAATGCTAGCTGTATGTAGAATTCGTGACTAGATTCTTGGAGAAAAATTAAGGAGGAAAATAAAGATATGAAGACTTTCCACACAAAAAAAATACACCAACAGTGAAATTGTAGTTTTATTTATTACTCAAACAACCCCTATTGTTTTTTAACTTCCTTTTATCCATTTGGTGTATCCAACTAACTGGTCCAACTAGTAACACGACTTAAATTCGGACCCATGTCACTCGGTAACATGACTTAAATATGAGACCTATATCACCCGGTAAATGGTTGGATATTCACTAGCATACTTGTATACGGGCAAAATCGGGCTTGCCCTTTTTGCGTAGCTAATCGAGGGAGGAGCATGATAAGTCAAGGTTCGACTTCGATTTATATCAAACTATGGTGCAGGGTTAGGTTGTCAAGCTCGAGACCCCGAGACCGATTGAGACTAAGATCGACCAAATCCGAGTCTGAATGAGATCGAGATCGATCAAGTTTGGGACCGAATAAGATAGAGATCGAGGAAAGCTTACTAGGTCGAATAACGAAAAGACGAAATATCCGCAATCGGGCGAGGATCACGGCGCAAATCTCGGCACGTATCAAGAAGAGGCCGATTAATCAGCCAATCATGGGATTTCTTATTGTATTTAGAGTTGTACCAAGAATAGGACTCTCATACTATATAAAGGGGGTCTGACCATTTGTAAAGGCATCATATACATGTTACATAAAGCAATACATTCTTATTCTCTTAAGCTCTCAATATTTCTGTTACTTTGTTCATGCTTTCCGGCAAAATATTCATTTGATTCGAGGGCAACCCAGCACAAGAATCAAAGCTATACATTTTATTTGGTTTACTTTATTTATATTTGCAATTAATTTCAGTATCAATTTACGTTTTCTCTTAGTTTGTGCTAAGTAAATCACGTATCCTTAAAATGGCAGTATAAGTTCAACTGTTATCCGTTTTTAAGGTAAATATTTTGGTGTCCACCATAGGTCTAAGGATAATAATGATTGTCTGGTATAAATTTTTGTAACACACACTATTTTACGCTTGTTCTTTGAAGTGCCTTTGATTACAGGATTAAAAGATGTCAAATTCTCAGTCAGCACCTTAACACATTGACAATGATCTCAGCCACCATGACGATAATGATAACATTGCACCAGGAAACGCTGTACCCCCTGATGGCCTCGATGGAGTTCCGGCTATAGATCCAATCGACGAAAGTTCGTATGTAGCCATCAATGAAAATTTGACCGTCGATCCCGAAAGCAATGTTCGTGGGGGGTACCCAACTCAGAATGCACACGGCGATGAAGATGGAAGGATTAACCTGCAGGTAATTTTCAAAATATTGCAGGCCCAACATGCAGCAATAACTCAGCTCCAAAATCAGAACCACACGCCAAATAGGTTCGAACTCGAGCCATCCCAAGAAGTTGTACCCAGGGCCGAATTGGCTTCGAGAAAATCGAATGAGAAGGAATCAGAGACCAACCCTGCTATTATAAAAATGCTCGAAGAGTTGACAAAGCGAATCAAGATTGGGGAAAAGAAGATAGAGGAAAACGATAAGAAGGTGGAAACCTATAACTCTAGAGTCGACCAAATCCCAGGGTCACCACCGATATTGAAAGGACTAGATTCAAAAAGGTTTGTACAGACACCTTTCCCCCAAGTGCGGCTCTGAAGCCAGTCCCTAAGAAGTTCCGTATGCCCGAGATTCCTAAGTATAATGGGACAATTGATCCAAACGGATATGTCACCTCATACATGTGTTCCATCAAAGGAAATGACTTGGAAGATGACGAGATCGAATCCATTTTGTTGAAGAAATTCAGGGAGACTCTATCGAAGGGTGCTATGATACGGTATCATAATTTAGCACCTAATTCTATTGATTTGTTTGCTATGCTTGCAGATTCTTTTGTAAAGGCACACGCCATAGCCATTAAGGTTGCAACAAGAAAGTCGGACCTTTTCAAGATAAGGCAGAAGGACAACGAAATGCTCAGGGAATTCGTATCTCGATTCCAAATGGAACAAATGGACTTGCCACTGGTCACCGATGATTGGGTTGTTCAAGCTTTCACTCAAGGCCTCAACGTTCGGAGTTCCATAGCTTCACAGTAGTTGAAGAAAAAATTGATCAAGTATCTAACTATCACTTGGGCCGATGTACATAATCAGTATCAGTTGAAGATGAGGGTCGAGGATGATCAACTTGGGACTCCTTCCGGGTCCATTTATCCTAATAGGCCCGTGGATAGAATCATGAAGGATATCGATCGAGGACCAAGGTCGAATAGATATCGATATCAACCGCATAATGGAGACCGTAGAGGCAGCAATTCAAAGTTCATAGGGACCCATGAGCAAGGGTGTCTTCGAAAGGGATGTCAGGCCCAAAGAAACGCCACGATTATTGGAATATAACTTCAACGTAGATGCATCCGCCATCATATCAGCCAGTGGATGTATCAAGGACACTAGATGGCCTCAACCTTTGCAGACCGATCCATCCTAGAGAAATCCCAACCAAATATGCAAGTATCATGGCTCCAATGGCCACAAAATAGAAGATTGTAGGTAGCTAAGGGAGGAAGTAGCCCAATTGTTCAACGAGGGGCACCTTCGGGAATTCTTAAGCGATCGAGCCAAAAATCACTTCAAAATAGAGATTCCAGTAGACAGAATGAGCAAGAAGAACCATTGCACATAATTAACATGATCGTTGGAGGGGTCGACACTCCTCAAAGACCAGTATTAAAACG